GTTCATTGCACCTGATAGTTCCTGCTTCCAACACAGTGAGCAACCCCTGCTTCAAACCTCTGCCTTCTCATTCTCCTCTCCTCTTTTGGCAGCCTGTGTGGATGAAACAAGGAAGTTTCCTGCTAAGCTTTTTGCTTCCTTTCCTCTAACCTTATGGGGCTTCTGGAAGTCTGGTTCAGGCTTTCTACAGTGCACTGCTATTCCCCTAAGGTCTGCAAGTGGGATGGTCACTTCAGGATGCCGTTTCTCCCTCTGAGAATGCAATAAGCAATATTCCACGTTCTTTCTATGGAGAGCAGAGCTTCTGGTGCCTGGCCTGGGGTTAATCATGGGGTTAACCAAGTCATGGAAGAGATATTCTGGGACAATGCAGAAGATCCCTTGCTTGGTTGAACAGAGCAATCTTTCTGTTGTAAATTCAGTGCCATGGGGCAGCCAAACAGGTCTTTCTGTCTCTGTCGCTCTGCTCTGCTGTGGGTCAGCAGCATGATGTTGATCAGTGTGGTAATGGAGCAGTGACCCACCTCTTTGTGACCAGGGTGATGTTGGCAGTCTCTGGACCGGTAAGGAGCACATGGGACCTCCAGTGAGGCCCCGTGCCCCAGAGGGAGGCTTAAGATGAGCCATACACAAGTGCCACTGATGCCTCCATCCCACTGCGTGTGATGCGTATCTCTTTTCCCAAGGACAGTCCCTTTGGGAAGTTTGATTGCCCTCATAAACACTGGTTTTATTGAAAGGGGTACCCCCTTCTGCCCACCTCTACCCTCTGGAGTCCACTTACGAGCTTTCCCCCTTGCCAGGCTGTTCTGATTTCTCCTGATCCCCGCTCCTCATCATCCCTCCCCACCTCCATCCACGACTGCTCCCTCCTCAAGGAAGAGCAGTGCTCATTCATACCCAGCCTCGCAGCCTGCAAGGCTTTCTGCAAGTTCTAGGGTTGACTTTTCCTTGTTATTTATTCCTCAAGTCAGCTCATGTCACATTCAGGAGGGTGACATTGCCTATTGCCTCTCACAGCCAGCATCTACCTTTTGCTTAAAGCCTGCGTACAGCAAGTGAGCGGTGATGGGTGTGTGCACAGCATTAGCTGATGCCTGCATGTCACTGACAACCTCTTGTTACCACTCACATTGCTTTCCACTTGTGCAGTCCATCACATTAATGGGGAGGAGACACACTGAACCTTCTGGCTCCAGATTCAGAGTCCTGGACCCTTCTTTACACCTTCAAGAGGTGCAAAATGTGCCAGAGAAAGGGAAGCTCAGGAATGCCTCAAGGTCTGGGTGTCTGGTGTGGGTAAGTAGCATTCAGCATTGCACCATTGAATACTGGATGCTATAGCCAAGAAGCATGTAGGAGTGCTTGCAGGAGGTGCTTACCCACCTCCAAGGAGGGAGGAGGAGAAGAAATCTTGTGACTGCCTTATAGCTACATCTGGGGCGGTTCCTATAAGCCCCGTTTGGAGGGTTTATGAGCCCAGAGTTGCATAGACACATACAGTCACAGAGTGGTTTGGGTTGAAGGGACCTTAAAGCTCATCCGGCTCCAGCCCCTGCCACAGGCAGGGATGCCTTCCACTAGAGCAGCTTGCTCCAAGCCCCTGTGTCCAACCTGGCCTTGAACACTGCCAGGGATGGGGCAGCCACAGCTCCTCTGGGCACCCTGTGCCTGCATCTCAGCATCCACACAGATGCTGATCTAACGTAGCTTGAAGCTTGCAGCTTGACTTTGGCCTTAAGGGTCTGTGTCCATATGAACCTGAATGCAACTGCTGTCCCCTAGAAGCATCTCTTCAGAGTGCGGTAGAAGGGGAGAATCCCCTCCCTTGACCTGCTGATCACGCTGTGGGGATGCAGCCCAGGATCAGCCTTTGAGCAAAGGGTACATAAAGGGGAAGGAAAAGCAAGAGGAGTAAACACACTCATTTTTGCATCCCGATGGCCCCAGGGGCTGGTGTGCACCGCTAACCTCCAGGCACCCGGCACAGCTACCCCACACTGTGCACACTGGGGTAAAATCCTATTGCAGATGTAGAACATGCCTCATAGAGCTGCTGCTTTCCCAAATGCCTCCTTTGGAAATGGCCTCGTAATCTGGTAGGAGCTGATCCTTTATATCACCTCTTTCAAATTGCCTTCTGCTCATCAGCTGTTCCTTAAGAGATGAACAGCCCCATCTCCATGTCCTATCCTGACCTGCTGGTGGCTCTGAGGAGCTGCCAAGCAGAGGGCTCTTTTCTTAGGGATTGGGGGGGTTGATAGCTTCAGGTTTCCAAGTGCTTCCTGAACTTGTAGGATGAAAGGCACCGGAGCAATGTGAAATATTAGTGGTATTTTAAGCACACGTGTGGGTGTGTAGACACAATTAATTTTCCTTTTTATAGGCCTACGTGGAATATCTCCATCTCCGAGGAAGACGCCTCTATCTATGGAGCGCTGGCATCCCAGAGGAGGGCACCGCTCTGCTCGTGGTAACAGCAAATGCCATGGAAATTAACAGCGCAGGAACGCTGTTGTGGTCAGGCTATGTGAGCTCCATAAATCCTGGGAGGTGTGAGAGGCAGCAGGCTCGGAATCCCTCCGTCCTTCCAGCCCTGAAACATCTCCTTCCTCCGTGTTAAACGGTAGCAGTCGGAAGGGATTTTTGTCCTGGTAGTCCCCCGGGATCAGAGAGGAGCTGATGCCACTTGGAAGTAGGATTAAACAGCACAGGTGCTGCGAGCCTGCACTCACACAGGCAGAGCTCTCGGGCTGGGTATTGTTATTGACACACTGCACCTTAATGGCTATAATGTCAATGGGCACTTTGGGACCTTTACTCGTGGATTATTAATGCATTAGGCTGCAGGTTCGATGGGTTATTGTGTTAAGAGTGGAGGGAGTGGATGCCTGTGGTGTATGGGCAGCATAAGGATCTTCTTTAATCAGGGCTGTGGTGTACGTTGAGAGCTGCACTGTAGATGTCTCATTTACTGCCCTGTCTTACCTGCTCCCAGCAAGGGGGATCTCACTGCAGCTTAGAGGACAGCATGGAAAAAATGACACCATTAGAGAGGAAAAGGGATGGGCCAGGGGAAGGAAGCGATGGTCCTGTCCATAGCTAGGGAAAGGCACATGGCTGGGGGGGGATATTTCCTGGCACTAGCCACTGATACCCTGCAACATGAAGATTAATAGGCTCTTTATGTTATTGTTAGCAACTGCAGGTGCTGCTCTCCTCGCCTAGGGCTCAGCCCAGCACCAATCCTCCCCTGGGACTGCAGGGAGAGCAACTTTCTCACGCTGCCTCTCTGCCTGAGAGCAAATGTCACAGCCCAGGCCTGGACACAAGTGGAGGGGGGTCCCCAAAGCCTTTGCAGGTGATGGGAACTGCAGGTGCCCAGTGCTGCTCAAGGGCCAGATCCTGCCCCTTTTAAAGGGCCTTTTTGAGCGTGCTGTGATTTGCAGGGGAAAGTGATGCAGGTGTAACCATGCTCCGGCTGATCTTCCCTGGGTAAATAGGATCTGTATGTTCGCCAAAGCCCCATTTGACAAGACAGGGTGGATAACCCTGCAGATGAAGTGGAAAGGGTGGAACAACATGTTCAGACACTGCACGAAGCACTGAATGCTGTGCTGGTGGAGCAAGGGAAGAAGGGGGATCCTGAGAGCAGCGGGGCAGGAGCAGGGAGGATGTGCAGGACATTGCACAGCTGGAAGTGTCCTCTCTGGTGTTTTAACAGGTCAGGCAGCTGTAAAGGGCTCTTAACAGCAGCTCTGGGTTCATTTCTGGCAAGAATTGCCATCTTCCTTGTAATCACCACTGCTCCATTACATGGAGACTTGGAGAAATTATCCTGAAACCAAACTAGCTATTGAGTGATAGAAACAATAATCAGGCAGTAATGGAAACAAAACCCCATATCACAGCCTTTCCTTTTAGCTCTAATGTATGGGCTGCAATGGCACGAAGGAAGAAAACAGAGACAGGGAGGAACCTGAACCCACAGGGATGCTGCCTCTCCGTAACTCTAGAGGGCAAGAGATGCTGTTGACCGAGGAGGGAAGTTTCTGACTTGCAAACTGCTGTCACTGCACTTCAGGCCCATGTCATTCATTTTCTCCACTCCTCCTTGTCCCAACTTCATACCTGAAGGAGGCAAAGAAATCCTTGCATATCCTGACAATGCTGACTGCATTTTGACTTTTCGTCATGTCGTATCTGGGCCATGGGAAGGCCCCTGCTTTTATTGTGTGACGACACGGAAATTACCAAGTAATTACAGGATTATGCAGCACCTTGTAAATTAAATGTTACCTCTTTACCTTTTATAGAACAAAAAAATAACCATGTAATTACCTAGTGAATTAAGCTGTTAAGGTCTCATGGTAATTATACATGGAGTCAAGAGCGCTGAGTTCTTCTGGTAGTTACAAGTAAAGAATTATCTTTCATTTTTAAACATATGTTGCTGTTGGATCCCCAAGCCTGCACATTTCCATCTTAATAACACTATGGCCTGCCCAAATGAGAAGAGGCATATGTCTCCCATCCGAGTGTGCAAATAGAGTGAACATGTATATATAAAATAGATTGGACATATGCAAAACTGACCCGGGTTCAGGCCAGAAAAATGGGATACCAGCAGAGGTAAAATGTGATCAGTTGGATGGTAACGTTCAGAATGATGTTTGCTTTCCCAGCACTGGATCTTGTTTTCAATGTGCTGCTATTTTTAATACACATGTGATTGTATTTGGAGAGCAGACAATGAAACCACCTATCAGGGAGCTCTGTCCACCAAGGGAGGCTCGGGACTTGCTGTGTGCAGGTGGCTTTTGCCATGTATCTGCAAGGAGGAGATGACTCTGCTGGCAGGAGAGCCCCAAAACCAAACACATTGGTGACGTGAGCTTGGTGGTTGCTCCTGGCTCAGGTGGGGAGGTTTTCCCATTGGCTTTTGCTACTAATAGCACAGAGCTCTCAGGTGTGCTGGCCTGGATCACCTCCTCCAGAGGCAGTCAAGGAGTGACATAGCACCAAAGAGCTTCAAAAGGAGAAGGGTTAGAAAGGAACAAGGGTTTGCTGCCTTGTAGCAAGGCTTGTTTCTGTCAAAGTAGCTGCAAGGTACGTGTTTCCCTGCTTAAAAAGTGCTGCCAGGGATTTGGGTCACTGCAGTGGTCACTGAATGTGGAAAGAGCAGAGCAGAGATCATCCAGCCTGCTCTGACCAGACCAGACGGGAGAGCTCCAAGACACCAAGCAAGCAAGAGGAGGAGGCCATCGGACCAGTGATTGCAGGTGCTAAAGTACATGGTCAGGTTTTTATTGGACATGAGGATCATTGCACATGGGAATTGCCTCTTTTGTTCTATATAGCCTGTGGCCTGAGCTGGCTAAAAGTGTCCTTTTGTGATGTAAGGTCTGGGGGGGGGGGTTAACTGTTCTGCATAACCTTTTTCCTATTTAACACAAGCAATCCAAAGTGTTTCAGGGTTTCTTTTGATGTTTCTATTTCCATCTTTTTAGGGCCACAATTCCAAAAGTTTCCAATGAACTTTAATGCTGAAATAATAACTGGTTTCAATGTCCTTTCAGATTGAAAATAAGCGTTTTTGTAGGTCCTAAACACAGATTCTTTGGCTTTGTAGTTTTAGATTCCTATATGTGAAAAATGGGGTGATGCAATATGGCCAATGCTATCTGAAAGGCGCTGTACATTCACCTCCAGAGGTGTTATGTGTATTTACTGGCTAGTTTTATCACTTGCTTTGAAATATGTAACATGTTATATATAGAGATGCTCACTTCATTAATCATGGGAGAAAACAGAGGACCAGGACAGGGAGCTGGGTTTTTCTTTGCACGAAGCTTAACGCTGACATTTTACCTCTGTTTCTGCACTTTCTATCACAGACCTATTTCCCCCTACAAGTCATACCCAGTCCAAACAGGATTTGCTGCAGGTACAAAATGAATTGAAGTAAATTATCTTCTCATCTCTGTATTTGGCATTTTCCCTGCTTTGGTTTCAACCTGATCAGCAGTTCTCTGTCGTGCTGTGGTTTGTAGTGTTTAAATCCTGCAGTAATGCTGCATGCTGAACATGCATTCACTTCAAAGAGTCATTTAGATCCCCCGGGAAGCAGGTAGTCTTTGCTGTAGAGGTGCAGGGGTGTTTTGGTGCAGAATTGCTTTTTTACATGTGTTTATTGCATTATTTCCCCCCCCTTATGTCCATCAGTTTTACCACTTTGTAGCTGCAATCTGGTGAATATTAAAAAGCACCATTTGGGATTGGATCAGAAAATAAGAGGGGGGAAGAAGTCACGCTCCATCTCATTCCTAGTCTCTTGCGTAACATCCCTTCATCCTGACACAGATTACTGCTAGCATTGTGCTTGCCCAGTTCCTCTGCCTTAATAGCCTTACGTCTCATTCCAAGTGAGATCAAAGAGAGGAAAGTACCAAAGGGCTTACATTCAATTAACAGGAAAGGGGCAGGCGTTGTACGTGCTCAGCAGAAGCTCTGATTGCAACAAACTGCTGACTGCATATCATGTACTATCACTATCAGCATGTGTAACACCAGCCCTTTCCCTGCCAAGCTGAAAGGTGGTCTAGAGAGGCAAATGGCATCTTTTGTGCTCTTCCTGGCTGGGCTGGGATGGAGATAACTGGAGGGGCCCATGTCCTTTCACAGGGATGCTCAGGAGGAGGAGGGGGCTCTACCTCCTGCCCTATGTGGGGCTTTAATCAGAGCTGCAGACTGGAAACTCTCTGTCAGCCCTTGACTGATGGATGGACAACTTGAATTTTTAATGCTGAGTGGTTTCCCCCTGCTCTCCACATGGATCTCGGGCTCGAAGGCTTAGCCTGCAGCAGTCAGAAGTCCTAGGGCAAAAGCTGAGACTTTGGGCCCTTTCTGTGTGTTTAGTGTATTACAGTGAGATAAAGCCCCTCTCATTCTCTCTGCTTTTCCCTCCTCCAGGTGTTTGTGACATTAGGAAAAGCTGGGTGTCCCAGAGCTAGCTCGTGATTGGGATGCATCTGGGCCCAGTCACTGCCACGGGAGGCAGGATCCTGGGAAGATGAGTGTGGCAGTCTGGTTTTACCATTTTCCCATTTCTCCTTGGGAAAGGCAGGAAGGAGAGGTGCAAAAGTAGGAATTGGATCAGAAAGGGGCGGGGGGGGGGAATTTACAGTGTAAAAATAGTAGGGCATGGACTCAAGGTTTTTGCCTTGAAGTGAGAGCATATCCCATCCACTACACACTCAGTGCTCATTGCTGTTAATTGCAGTTATGTCACATCCTCCTGTTTCCTAGGGTTCTGTGTATAAAGTTTGGGAAAGACGCAAGTTCCTGGCTTTGAATTACTGCTGGAATTCTCTTTTAGCATTATATTTCAGAGCTCAGAGGCAGCCTGGATCACTGTCTGTATTAAACCCCTCAGCTGATTGCTGAGATAACCTGCAGCCAGAGCTGTCTGAAAGGAGGTGACCCGGTTACATCTGTGTACATCGCTTTACTTCTAATGCAGACCTTGCCGAGCAGGAAGTTCCTGCCGCACGCATACAGAACCAAATCTGTTCCTAGGGATTCGGTACCTGCTGTTGCCGGGAATAGTATCATCTCCTTTAGCCTTATAACATCCTCTGCGTGACTGTGGGAGATGACCACTCCACACGTTGCTCACACGTTAACAGTGCTATAAAGAGCACAGCTGGTCAGTGGAATCAGGGAACACTGAAAAGGTCAGAGCATGGGAGGGCTGCAGAGGCTTCCCTCTAAATGAGAGTAGCCTGTGACCTTCACTTAACCCATACTTTAAATGATTGCAAATTAAGTTGGGCGACTTAGCCTGAGCTCGAAAACCCTAAATGAATTGAAAGATGGAACTACATCAAACAGCTTTCCATCAGTGTCAGGCAGTGTTTGCCGGCACACGTATTCCAGACAGACGTTGCTGTCTGTGAGCCTTACTTACCCACTGAGCTATATTCAAATAAAGCCCATTAACTTCACCGGTTCTGAATGACATACATGCATTTGTACCCTAATGCAGTCATCCCCTTGAATGCAGGCTTATCCAACTGGAGATCTTTTCTATGAGGTTTTTTAATCTTCTTGGCTTATACAGGACTTACAGGTATAATATATGGCGTTTGCATAGCAGTCGGAGCCAAGGGCTTCAGTGCTGTAAATCCATCACCTGCTTTCCATCAGCCAATTGTCTGCACACTGATACTCATGTCAAAGCTTCCTTTGGCTTCAGAAGTCATTTTTCACTTCATCCAGTCTCCGGGGGTCTAGGGACCAAATGCCCAGCAGCAATTAAATATAATGATAAAGCAGAAGAGCTCTGCAGCAAAGCATCCCATCACGCTACTCATCTAGGGGCTTCTCAACCTCCTCCATATGGTGACAATAGAGCAAGAGCAGAGGTGAGGATCAGTGGTCTTCAGGGAGACCTGGTGCATGGGGCTCTCTGTGCTCAGGAGCAGCAGAGCCAGTGGCACATCCTCCATCCTTCCTAATAATGAATGGTATTTAGTCTATTCATGCAAAGAGAGGAGTCCTGCCCAACACGTGGGCTTGCACAACACTCTCAGCTGTTCTTACTGGTGTTCTTTAATGTGGCCTTTATTTCTTTTATTCCCTGCATACCTGCCTGGCCCTTTCTTATTTCACAGCAACAAATGTGAAAACAAAACCATTGACTGAGCTGCAAACCCAAGAATTTCTGTTCTCCCAGCCCCAAACAGAACCTGAAGCAAAAAGACACCTTCACACAAACACCCCACAAGTTCTTCTATCAGTAAGAACCCAGTTCTGCATGAATTTAGCTGACATTGAGGCAGGGCAGTAGTGGTGGGGAAATAGTGTGTGCCCTGTGAGTGGCTCAGATCTATTCAATGCCATGGTCAAGAAATGGCTGCTCAGTGCCTGATATACCGGCCAAGAGGATACTCTACTTTCTGAATTCCCATGGAGATGGCCTGATTTCCATAGCAACTGGAGTCTCTCTCTTGCCTTTCCCCTTAACAGGTAGAAACACACTTACATCCTGAATATGCTGGATTGCTCCGAGTATTACTGTGGGTTTGGGTGCCAGTGCACTCTCTGGACAATGTGTTCAAATACAGGCACCTTAACTGTAGTTTAATCCACCTTTAGAACCGGTGGTGACATTGTCTTCCATCCGCTCTTAAGATGTGTAGTGATGTGAGCTTGCTTTCTCCTCTTGTTCTTTATCATTGTTTCATCTGTATATTGGACAACCTGCAATGCAGGGTGATGGCTATTGAAAAAAGCTCTTGGGAGAAAGAGAGCATTGATAACAGCAGCTACCAGCAATATCCACAATGCATGGGATGTACTTCTAGAGAGAGGGCTTGGTTCAATCTCTGATTGAATCCCAGAGATGGATTAACAATTCATGCTATAATTCAGTGTGTCACAGAGGAGATCATGTCAGCAGTAAGTGTATATATTATTTGCCACCTGTTGTTTGAAGCTTTTAATGGTTTCAGGTTTTGATTTTAGATGCTGACTTGAAGTGTCCTCTTCAGGTCTGTCCTTCCTCAAGTACATCTCACTGCTTCTCCTCTGTAGACTGAAATGAGTACAAAGGAAGATGGTTTAACTGGGGAGTTTCTTATAGCCGTTGTGAAGGGATTCCTAAGGAATAACATGTTGGAGCCCTGCAAACCATCTCCCCAAGGATCTGCTGAGGACACAGACAGGACAAGGAGTCATGGGAATAGGCTTTCAGATAGTAGTGTTACACATCAGTCTGATCCCATAAGGAAGGGAGTGCCATGGACATTGTGAGCTGAGAATGACTGGATCTGAAAGGGCAGGGCTTATACTTAAATTCCAGCATTTATTGAAGGTCCCTGGAGAGCACCAGGTTTATGGCAGTCTGGGCTGCCTTAATGATGCTACAAAAGCTTCTGCGTTGCAATGGGTGATTGCCCAGCCAAAGGGAGGGCAGGAGGAGGTGACAGATGCAGATCCTGTGTCCATCAGGATGGCTGAAGTTTGTGACAGGTATTCCTGGCAAGTGAAACCAGTTGGGAATCCAGGCAGAAAAGCAAAGCCCACGAGGGGCACATAAAACGAGCAGTGCTGTCAGAGGTGCTTCTTCCTTAGCCTCAAATCACACAAATGCGGTGCCTGCACCAAGGATGAATTTCAGATACCCCTTTCACACAGCAGCCTGGCCATGCTTCAGTGCCACCTCTCCCTAAGCACGCATTACCCTGAACTGGCAATTAAATAGTGAGCTGTGGCAGCCCCAGATGC